CCGATATGCTCTTCCTCTGGTGCCTGAGTTGTTTCAGAGATTTCGAACAGCCCAAGTGTTCACTAAATTGGACGTACGGGGGGCCTACAATTTAGTCCGCATAAGAGAGGGCAATTGAGTGGAAGACCGCCTTCAGAACACGCTTAGTACAGTACCTAGTGATGCCATTTGGGCTATGTAATACCCCTGCTACGTTTCAACATTTTGTGAACGACATCTTTAGAGAGTACCTTGACCTTTTTGTAATTGTCTACCTGGACGATATCCTAATTTTCTCTACGTCACTGGAACGCCATCGTGATCACGTTAGGAAAGTGCTAAACACTCTAAGGATGCATGGCTTGTACGCCAAGGCAGAGAAGTGTGAGTTTGAGAAGCAGTCCATCCAGTTCCTGGGGCTCATAATTTCCACTGAGGGAATCTCCATGGACCCTCAGATAGTATCTGCTATCCTGGATTGGCCTGCACCTTCAGACAGGAAAGGGGTCCAAAGATTTGTGAGTTTTTTCCAACTTTTATCAGAAATTTACTAAGGGCTTTTCCACAGTCATTGCCCCTATTACTCATCTCACCTACCAGCATACACGATTTTGCTGCAGCCAGGAAGCTCAAAAAGCGTTTGAGCAATTAAAAGATCAATTCACCTCCGCTCCTGTGTTATAGCATCCAGAGCCAACACTGCCTTTCATTCTGGAGGTGGACGCATCTGCAGTTGCTACAGGAGCTGTATTCTCCCAGCACTAGGGCCCAAAGGCTCTGCTTCACCCAAGAGCCATTTGTTCTAGAAAACTGAGCCAAGCCGAAAGGAACTACAATGTGGGTGATAGGGAACTTTTAGCGATTAAGATAGCCTTCGAAGAATGGAGATATCTCTTGGAAGGAGCCAGCCACCCAATTATGATTTCACAGATCATAAAAATCTGGAGTATCTAAGGTCCGCCAAGAGCCTAAGACCTCAACAGGCTAGATGGGCTTTATATTTCCCCAGGTTTAACTTCCACATAACCTACCGCCCAGGATCCAAGAACGGGAAGGCAGATGCCCTTTCCCGCATGTTCCCGGACCCAGAGGAGCCTTCTCCCCCCCCCCAACACCATTTTGTCGGGCCAAAATTTTTTGTTGATCTAACCCAGCCTAAATTCTTCGATCAAGCAAGCCTATGCACTATGTCCTGAACCCGAACAAGATTCACTTAGAAGGTAGGATGGTCTTCTGTGGCACAAGGATAAAATCTTTGTACCCCAAGAAGTGAGATCTCAAGTTTTCAGGGCTTTCCATAACCATCAACTGGATGGACACTTTGGAGTCCGTAAGACAATGGAAATAATCCAACAATCCTTCTGGTGGCCCAACTGGAATCATGACTGTAAAGCTTATGTGAAGTCATGCACAGTGTGTCTGCAGAACAAGGGAGACAAAGCCAAGGCCTGGGGGTTGCTGAAGCCCCTGCCCATTCCTGATCGTCCCTGGGAGATGGTCGCAGTGAACTTCATTGTGGATTTGCCGCCCTCGGAGGGGTTTACTACCATCCTGGTAGTAGTGGATCGGCTATCCAAGATGGCCCACTTTTTACCAATGGTGGGTACTCCATCCGCACCAGAGACTGCACTAACCTTCATCAAAGAGATTGTCAGGTTACATGGTCTGCCCAGTAATATCGTCTCAGACCGAGGGGTGCAGTTATCATCAAGGTTCTGGAGAGCCCTCTGTAAGGCCCTGAAGGTGGAACTCTGCTTATCGTTCGCCTACCATCCCCAGAGTAACGGGCAAACGGAGCGAACGAACCAGACTTTGGAGCAATATTTACAGTGCCTCTCTGCTTTTTCTCAGGATTATTGGGCATCCCTACTCCCATTGGCAGAATTTGCCTACAAGAATTCAGTCCATTCTGCTACAAACCAGACGCCATTTTGGGCCAATTATGGATTCCACCCTTCCTCCATACCTGACACCATTCCTAAAGCTTCGGTACCCGCAGTACAGGACAGACTCTCTATGCTACAGAACAAATGTAAAGTCCTCCGAGAGTCTATACTGAAATCCCAGGCTGATTATAAGAAACACTACGACAGGAAATGGAGAGGAAACCCTCTTCTGAAGTTTGGTTATCAACTGCCAATCTAAAACTCCCGTGCCCGTCATGTAAGTTGGGTCCAAGGTACATTGGCCCTTTCCGGATCAAGGGGAAATCAATCCAGTGGCGTTTGAGCTGTTCCTTCCGGAATCATACAAGATCCACCCAGTTTTCCACATCTCCCTACTCAAGCCAGCTGTTCCTGATCCTTTTCCAGGGAGAGTAGAACCACCTCCTCCGCTGATAACAGTTGGGGTGGAGACGGAATACGAGGTTGAAGCAAATCTGGACTGCAGAAGGTTGGGAAGACAAATCCAGTACCTGGTCAGATGGAAGGTGTACTCACCTGAAGAAAGTTCCTGGGAACCAAAATGCAATGTACATGCCCACAGGCTTCTCCAAGAATTTTGTTCCAAGTATCCTGAAAATATGGCCCAGGTGGGCATCCGGAGGCTGCCCTTTAGGGGGGGGGGGGGCACTGCGAGGGTCCTGTTCACGGCAGAAGTTCTGGAAGATCTGGCATTTCTGCCAGTATTCTGCATGGCCACAGAAGTACACATCAGCCTCAGTTTGGTGACAGACGGCCTTTATAAGGAGGGTCATCACTTCCCCAAGTTGCTGGATGATCTCTAGCTCCCCATGCCCTGTTCCTGTTTCCTGTTTCCAGTGATTCTGGCCTTTGATGACCTGGACCTGTCTACTCTGCTTTACCCCTGATCTGACCTCGGCTTGGCTTACGGATACTCTCTCTCTTGCTCCTCTGTGTATGACCTCGGCTATCCCATTTTACTACGTCTGCTCTGATTCCCACCTGGTACCTGACCTTGGCTTGAACCGAATACCCAGTAAACATCTAAATCCCGGAAGGGCTTACATACCACGCACAGGCATCTCCTGTCTGCAGACCTATCTCCATGCACCAGCTGTGTTTCTGAGTGGAGCACCAAAACAGTACTCCTACAGGCGACCTGTGCAACTTTTGGGCCAGACTCCGGCTGTCCCACTTTCAGGGAAGTCCGGAACTTAGTTGCATGGGAAGCCCTCTCTCCATTGGCCTCCATCACCAGGTACGTGATAGCTGTCTGGAAGGCCAGTAGCGCTGACAAATGTGCTTGTTTTGTTTTTGCATTGAAAATCCTCAGTCATGGGGAGAGCAAACTCCATGTAGACAGTAAACACACACACCTCTGCTCAAGACTGGCCTCTCATCGTCTCCACTCCTTATTGGAAATGGGAAAAAATCTGCCGCATTCCGATGAGCTCTTCTTGCAATATTTTTTAATAACAAACAATGTTTCCAAACGAAAATCAACCTTCCTTGACACATTTCACCACTCTTGGTGTGGTCACAAGAATTTCCTCCTGCCTCATGCGCAAGAAAGGCTTGTTTTGGGTCGTAAAGATCACTGTATGCAATCAACACACTGATTATTAAAAATGAATACTGCAAGAAGAGCTCATTTGAGTGCAGCAGATTTTTTCCCCTTATTTTCCATGTAGACTGTGTTATTGGTGAGAACCCAGATCGATAAACCGCTAAACATACACATCACACAGCTGCCAGACCATCTTGGTGTGTATGCTGTGTGGCTCCCACATAAGTAACTTTGTTTTCTCTGAAGAAAACAGAAGGACCCTAAACACCCGTGAGATGTTGATAGTGCTTGATATTGCGTACAGTGCTCTTTCTCCTTTAAAGTGGAATTGATGGCTCTTTGCCAATATATTGTGACTCCTGCGTGCATACATGGCCATTGAAGTGGCTGAAGAGATGCAGCCCAGAAAGAAGAGAAGGGTGAAGATGGAAGCACTCGGAACCAGCTGGAACATTGATAGAGTAGCGCTGGAGGGTGCTGTTTGACAGGTAAGTCTGCCATTATGTGCTGGTATGCAATACATGCTAGCACATTATGGCATAAACCTGTCAGGTGCCTGGGGAAGAAAAAAATTCTCTGGGACTTTTCACACTAGATTGCAGTGCGGGAAAGCTGTGTTCCTGTATGGCTGCTGTGGGTGTCAGTGCAAAGTTAATGACACCCTAAATGCAGGTCGCAAATGCAATGCATTTTGTCTACCCAGGCCCACACCTGATCACATGGTGTGGGCACAATCCGGTTGCCAGGCATTTCAAAAAGTAGTGCACACACTACATTTGGTGTCGTGATTTCAGCCCATTCAGAATGAATGGGGGTGGAATCGCACTACCCAGAATTGCATGTGAATTGCACAGGAACTGCATAGTATTTCTGTGTGTTTCACATGCAGTTCCTAGTGGGAAAGGGCCCTCATACTTTAAAGCGGAACCAAACTCTCTCAATCAATGTCAACTATTTTTAATCCTTATGCTATTTAGCCTTTCTAAATAAATAGGAAGGTATATTATATTGTGTTATACTTTTTTATGGCGCTCTGTAAAGTTCCTCTTTAAGCTGAGCTCCAAGCAAATATAAAATGCACAAATGACTACAGTTCTTCAATCATTAATACACTTAAGGCCTGGTTCACACCTATGTGTTCTTAGCCATTGTGTTTTTGAAAAGGGTCAGGGACTTTTTCCCCAGAGCAGATTACAATATGCATTGGTGTGAATCAGGCCTTAATGAATTTTTAATGCAAGCAAAGTACCTTCTTCTTGTAGTATCAGTAGAACATGAGCACTGCAGCACAACTGACTGGTTCCTTGCACTGCTTCCTCTGACAAGGAACATGCTGATAGATGGAAAGACCAGAATGACAGATATAAGCTCATCAGTTTTTCTCTTTTCATTGTCCAGCCAGTTGGAGTAGGAGTCAGGAGCTGTAAGTGTTACTGAACTGCAACATAAAAATATCAGGTTAAGCTTAGTGAAAATAAAATTTTATCTGGTTCTGAGACTTTCCTCTCTAAATTCCCTTTTGTAGTTATATTTGTTTTGTTTTCTTGCAGCTCTATGACTTCGAGCTGAGTTGCGAAAATATGAAAAAATTGGAAGGCCTTAACAAAAACTTGCGATACCTCAGCCTTGATGGGTATGTAAGAACCTTGTCTGTCCGTAATTTTGTGGAACTTTTTATATAATTCTTGGATAGGATTTACCCGTCTGTTGTTCAGTTTACATTCACACTACATTCACACCTGTGTGTAGAGTTTTTGTGCATTTTTGTTTTTTTATGCGTCTGTGCCTGATTTGTTTAGGCGTTTTCAGGCTTTTTGAGTTCTGGTGTTTTTTGTATTCACCAATAGAGAAAAAGTTAATCTGTGACATCAATTGTTGCCATGTTTTGCCATGCCAATTTGCACGTTTCCATGTTTTCCTAATGGAATGAACACGCCAAAAACTCATCAATCTGCCTGAATGGAGCTACAAAAGTAGCTCCAAAACTTTTGAGCTTCAGGTGTTCTGCTTCAGATGACTTGGAGTGGAGATGTGAACCATCTCCATAGAGTAATATTGATTTAATTTTGTTTTTTTTTGTACTCCCAGAGCATTTTGGATCTGCGCTATAAAATGCTCAGGTGTAAATGGGGCCTAAAAGTATTTCTAAACTTAAGACACAAACTACAAAGATTTATTCAGATCTATATGTAAGAGCCGATTTGATTCAGGTGTAAACAGTTAATATTTTATGTAACTTTTGCAGTGCCATCCATTGATCAATGAACCAAACGTGTGAGACGCTCACTAGATTGTGAATCCATACAAAACTTAATTGATGAAGAGTCGAAGCACAGCCCATTTGGGCTCCTTCCATTCACATGTTTTACTGGACTAAGCTCTGTTAGCGAGTAAAACTCATCAGAAGGAGAAGCTCGAATTGGTTGTGCATTGACTCTCAATCAATACAGTTTTTTTTGCAGCATTGTAAAGTGGTGTGCACTGCAGCCTGTAAGTTTCTTCATGCAAAGTTTAGAAGGAGGGAACAGCTGAGTGGGTATACTATACATTGTCTTGGTGAATGCATGGATTGTTTAATGTTCAAGATTGAGATCTCCCTACCATAATTGAACTCTTTTCCTGTACACCTGGGAGTTTTCGCTGTTCCCATCAAACTATTTGTGGTGTAGCTCCACATGTTGCATTCATAATTGGCACAGCAGGTGTACAGATTCAGGAACTCAGTGCAGGGTCCAATAGAATCCCCAAAAGACATGAAACTGCCTGAAGACCTAATTCTGCCACATCTATCAAACAGAATATTAGTTTTGGATGGTCTAACTTTTACATGTTAAAAGGTACAAGAAGTTGATGTGTAACAAGAATCCACCCAGAATTATCCCTTTAAGGTGGGGTTGCTGTGTATGTAATATATATTTATATAATTTTTTTTTTCCGAGATCTGATAATCCTCTGTAGATAAGAACATCACTGATTAATGTGTATCTTTTTCTTTTCATTTAGTTGGAAGGAATCTCCTAAATACCCATATCATGATGAGTATTAAGACATCGGGTCTCCCAGTCTCCCATCATGACACCACAATGCCCAGAGCTCTTATTAGATCTTGATAGTGTGTCGGTCCTTCCAGTGCAAGATGATGAAACAAAGGGCTGTGATGTCACACTCAGAATCATGGGAAAGATTGAAGCCTAACTGGCTTGATTTTGTTCCAGGAATGAGATGGTCCCCATACTTCTGCGGAAATGCAGCATTGTTTACTGTATGTAGCTGATGCTACATACAGTTTGTACAGCACTGACAGAGGCCATATGTACTAGTAATATAAATAGTCTGTTTGGGCCAGCTTGGCCCACGCAAACTATTTAAAGTGTAATAAAACCTGGAGTTATGTTTTAAACAATAAGTACAGTCTAATGCTAAGCTTAAATCTGCTCCCACCCCCATTCTAAGCCCAATTCTAACTACCCTGTATAGGAAAGATACCTATACTTGCCTATTTTGAAGGTGATCTGTGCAATCACATGACCTCCCCAGAAGCTGGCTTTAGTAAAGAAATTGCTGACAATTGCTGTAATGCCTATATATTGATGTCGCCCATAGGCCTACTATGGGGCATCTGATGCCCCTACACTGAATCCAGCGATGGGAGCCCATCATGTGACTGGACTACAGAGCCCTTATAATAGACAAGTATAAACCTCTTTCCTTTACAGGGTAGTTAGAATGGGGGTGATAGCAGGTTTAATCTTAGATGGCATATGACTGGATTTCTACTTTAACAAAGTTGAATTGACTGTGTCATAAATTTGACCTTTTTAAGTGAATGGTGTTGGAGTTTTAACATTGAAATAAATCTTATGACTTAGTTCTGCCTATCTGTGTTTATTACTAAAGCGTCATAATATTCTCATTCTGTGGCTCTTTGTCTCACAAAACTATCAACTTGTGGAGAAGAAGTGGTTCAATATGTTGTCTGTACACCGCTGCCAAAATCAAGCAAAGATTGTGGGTCACTATTGATGTTCCCTTTTATACGAGTATTAGTCATGCAGATGGAGTGAATGCGGTTAAATGGGCTTTGGGAACATTTACAGATCTACATAGGAAACAGAGGAAATTTATTTTGCAATTGTTGGAGTTTGGCATGCAGAGGAATTATATTTGGTATGGAGGTGAATTCTTTATTCAGAAGAAAGGAGTTGCAATGGGAGCAAAGTTCGTTCCTAGCTTGATGAACATTTTCTAAGTGGGAACTGGAGGTTATCTTCAGTCGCAAATGGGAAGGGTTGAAGGTTTGGAGGAGATTCATTGATGACATTTTGGTTGTATGGGAGGGGAATATGGATTCAATATTAGAAGTCATCACCCTCCTAGACAATAATGTATATGGTCTTGAGTTTTCTAAGAAGATGGATACCCATTCTGTTGATTTCTTGGATCTACATATCTTGTCATAAAGGAGTGTTACACACCAAAACCCACTTTAAGGCCATGGATTGCAATGGATTCATTCCTAGGTCAAGTTGCCATCATCCTGTGTGGCTTAAGGGAATTCCGAGAGGACAGTTTAGTAGGATCATGAGAAATTGTTCGGAGTTGAAAGATTACATTGTACAATCGGGAATTATCAAGTCATCATGTGATTTAAGTCAAAACTATATGGGTGGTGTTAGAAAGAAAAAACAGTTGAGTAAAAGAAAGGATAATGGGTTTGAATTTGCATTTATTTCGGACTTCAATTGTCAATATAAAGAAGTTGAACAGATTATTGGCAAATACTGGCCCATTATAAGAAATGACAAGGTTTTGGCACCTATGGTACCTAGAAGACATAAATTCGTGTATAGAAAATCTTCTAATTTACAGCAGAAACTAGTAAAAATTTAATTTCTCCCCCAAGACCTTTAAGTGACACCATTTTTGATTTGAAAGGCTTTTATCCTTGTGGAAAGGTTACAATATGTAAGATCACAAATGTTAGAAGTAGGAAAATTGACACCATTTATGTGTAATGTTACACATAAGACATATACCATCAAAAAATGTAATTCATGCCACTCCACCTTTGTTACCTACCTGCTGCAATGCCCTTGTGGGTTCCAATATGTAGGGCGGACTACAAGGGTGGTTAAGGGAACATGTCACCAATGTAAAGAAGGGTCGGAAGGAGCATAGCCTGTCCAAACACTTTAAAGAGGTACATAAATGCAACCCCTCATTGTTAAAGTTTTGTGCTGTTGATAAAGTAGGGGTACATTGGAGAGGGAATAATCACATTAGGGAAGCTTAAAAAAAATTAAATTTTCTGGATTTATGAGCTAGACAGGATTAAACATAGAACTAGATTTAAATTGTTTCATTTCCGATTTCTAGGGCGTAGGTTTTAGTCTGCAATTGAGTCATCAATTTTAGGCAGATAGGGAGCACATGTATTTATCATTTTTATTTATTTTATGTATATGGTTCAATTTAATTTAATTTAGGGATGGATAATATGTCTTGATTTACATGTATTTTATGTATATTGCATAATGGAATATATTTTATGTGCAGGGGAGGGAGATTAAAGATAAATTATATCTGGTTACTGGATTTTGTCTATGAACACTAGGGGGCAGGTGATCCTATGATTATTCATGTTCACTGTGGGTGCAGTATATTGGCACACACCTAGAGGGCGTTCATTGACTCTGGTGGAACATTCAGATTGTGCCCTATGATTGGATATTGAGCAGGGGTAGACTGACAACTCATGGGGCCCCTGGGCAATAGGGGATCATGGGGCCCCTGTGTCCTTGCCCACACTCAAAAAAGCCTATGAAAAAGGTACCAGGGGCATCTCATGGGGCCCCCTACTGACCCCGGGCCCTCGGGCAGTGCCCGAGTTTCCAAATAGTCAGTCCGCCCTTGATATTGAGCATCGGTGTGGGTTCTCTAGCACACAAAGTTATGTCTTACAGAGGAGGAACGTTATGTGGATACTGACAGTTAGTGTTGTAATAGCGAAAGTTGTCCAGTAAACAAGATAACGAATGGGGCTTCAAGATTAGGGCGGGAGCTCTTTATAAAGCATAATCCAGAGGCATCTGATGTCTACTGCCTATGAGGAAGTCAATTTGATGACAAAACACGTCAGTCGTATGTGATGTCAGACAGAATCGGAAGTGCCGCGGCAGCCATTTCTGTACAGGTTGTTTGTACGTCTCTTTCATGTAAGCGCAATTTTATCATTAAATTGATAATTTTACACTACTGCTGCACTATGGGCTTGTATGTTCGCTTTTATATGGTCATTGAGAGTTTATGAAGAGCGGGTGAGGAGAAACCAGAGTTAAGATTTCACTGAATATTGAAAATCACTTTTCGATGTATGCAGGGTAAGGTGTATGCCTGAAGAGGAAGGGAACGAGCATGCTGATCTGTTTGCACATTGGAGGTGGATGGAGCATGGTCACACTCTTATTTAAGAGGATAATTATAGTGATGGAGAGTTGTATGCCCATTCTGCGTCTGTGAGGGTAAGAGTAATTAGTGTGGATAGTGGAGGATACGATTCACACAGTGTTTTATATTTTGCACGGATGTATTACATTATCTGTGGAAATTACTATACTATATTCGTTTTTTGTTTTGGAGATTGGAAGCAGTCGAATAGATGGTCCAGAATAAAGAGAAAATCATATGATAAATAATGCATTCTGATTGGGGAGACTCTGGTGAGAATATATGAAGACCTGTGAAGGATAGTTGTGCGCTGTTTGTGTATATGAAAGATTGTGTGTGATCCAAACATACACTTAGTGCGCATCTCTACATTCATAGCAGTACGATATACACTTGTGAACCTTCTCAATACAAAAAGATTAACAAACCACAGCTTTATAATAAATAAGTGCAATCCGCCATATAAAAAGTGAAACCAGCCAAAAAATTAAAAAGTGCTCAGTCCATTCAAATCTTGAAAGGTGATGAGCAAATGTGATTCCTCCACCAAATAAATGATCAGCCTCTTACCAAAAACATTGATCTCACTTTCCAGAGATTTATTTATTTATTTCAGGTACTTATATAGCGCCGTCAATTTAAGCAGTGCTTTACACATATATTGTACATTCACATCAGTCCCTAACCCTCAAGGGCGTACAATCTAAGGTCCCTAACTTACATTCATACATACACATACTAGGGCCAATTTAGACAGGATCCAATTAACCTACCAGCATGTCTTTGGAGTGTGGGAGGAAAACGGAGTACCCAGAGGAATCCCACACATGCACAGGAAGAACATGCAAACTCCAGGCAGGTGGTGCCATGGTTGGGATAGATCAATACACACTTGTGTACTCATACTCAGCACTCCTCTCACTGGTAGGAAACTTTCATCACCTCCTCAGCATATTGTGACAGACACCAGAAGGAATCTTCTGGTGCAATAGAAGGAATCTTGTGATATAAACAGATATTCTCTCTGGAGAAGCTCAAAGGACTGCAATGGTGTTATATCGTAAAACATTTTTTTATTTAAAATAAGCAGACATATACTCACAAATAAGAAGTAGAAGAGCACATAAGAAACAGACACCAAAGTCTCAAGTATCAACATGTATATGACCTCACCGGCTAGGCCACGCCTAACATGTTTCGCTGCCAATCAGCTTCATCAGGGGAATGGAGCACAAATGATTGTGTGGTTACAACCCCTGTCAGGTTTTCATTGCTGTCTGTGTCCCCACTGGGGAGAATAACTGTTTTTGTCCTGGTGACCATTAACATTGGAACAAAAAATGTTATAGGAAAACCAAAATCTTACAGCTGCCAGTGGAACAGAAATGGAGAGAATCTTCCAATGAATACATCTGTTGTCCCCCACACATTGGACATGGAGGGGTCTCCTTTCATTTCTTGTTGTGCTATGGGGAAAGGAAGTGAAGGGAAACCTCCTTAATGGGACATGGACAGCAACAACAAGAGAATACTGCCAGGGGTTCGAACTAATCCCTGCTGTATCTAAAACAAAGAAAATTATGGCTTTAGATATTGTTTTATGGGAGACTATCTAAGGCAGTGCTGGTCAATTTATGTGGAATAGGGGGCCTTAACTGCAATCTCACCAAGGGGAAGCCTATTTATATTTAGTATATGTAGTGAAACAGAAGACTGTCAGCAGAAATGACAAGAGATGGTCACAGCCTGCAAAAGTGCTGCAAGAGTGATTAGAGATTGAGGGCATGTTACAAGAGATAGAGATTTGGGGCATGTTACATGAGACTGTTCAAGATTGCTATCATCCTGTTGCTTTACAAATAAACTTTCCCAATCTTGACTGTTGCAGTTCAATATCCAAACAAAGCCAAAGGGCTGAAGGCTTGGCACCAGGAAACTAAGATGCTGCCTGAGTTATTCCCCCTCCGGTTACATTTTCAACATTATAAAATAATGTAATAGATCCAGTTGTAATGGTCAAAACATTGAATAATGGCTACAGCAGGTGTGCAGACCTGGGAACTCAGGGCATAGATATCACAAATTCAAAAAGACTCAGAGATTTAGAATGTGGTCATCAATATGACCTAATGTAATGTATAAGGCTACTCTCACATGGGAGTTCATGTGCTGATATCTTGCTGCATCCAGAGGCAGCTAAATGCTTCCTCTGCAGCTAAACGCTTCCTCTGGATGCAGCAACAGTCTGCTACGGCCGAATACAAACTAACTGACTTACCCGCAGTCATACTGGCTTGGGTGCATACTGGCTGGTTAGTATTTGTATGTAAGATGACATCCATTGCAGCTATTCAGCAGTTTACAACAGCTAGCAAGAATCTACTGATTCCTGCTTGCAGCTGTAACTCGCGTGTGACTGTAGTAGAATTCTAAACAAAGCAGTATTCCTTCGCCTGCTTCCTTCCCACTCAACCAAGAACAATCTATTCATATTTTCTCTGCACTGTGAGGATTAAGGGAAAGGCACGTAAATGCAATTAATTTTCATAAAAATGAACTGTCTTTGAAGTCTCTTCTGCAGTAGAGATGGCTGGTGACATTATTCTTCAATATTCATCGTGGAATGGATATTTCGGATGGTCCTGCCACCTTAGTAAGACACAAAGATACCGCAGCATTATGGCAATATGTATTGTATTCATTTCTAAAAAAGAACAGACATTTTTGGGGGAATTCATAAAGGATGTTGTAGACACCCTTTTGGAATTCCATCAGGCCGTAGTGTCAGTGCTTGTACCCAGTTCATGAATTTGTCCATGTCTGCAGTGAGGAAAAAGGGTCTGCACTGGATACTCCTTCAGTGCACTGACTTTTGCCTTTTATTTCTGGCAATAGCACCTGTTACACTGATGGCTGACGGGTTTTTGACGGGTGGGCGGAGACTCATGTGGGAACTAAGACTAGTTCCCTATCAGGTCCACTTCACTTTTGAATGACAGTTCACAGGAGTGGGCGTATCCATAGCCACTATTCAGTCCAATAGCAGCTTTTGAATCGGCACATTAATGTGCTGTCAATCAAAAGTAAAGTGGAACTGATGGGGAACTAGTCTCTCAGTTCCTTATCAGGCTGCTATTATTAACATCTGACAGGTTTATTGCACTCACAGAAGACACTGGGGCTCTGAGAAGAGAGAAGCACACAGAGCAACTATACCCATGCCCCCCATTCACAGAAACCCGCAGTTTAATACAGAGACACCGGGGTGTACGGCTTCTTTCTAAGTCAGGGTACCACCATATTGTTGGAGTCGCATAACCGTGGCCCCACCTGGTCCTGGGCATTAGCAAACCAGAGAGGCCAGGGAGAAGAGAGTACAAAAGGCTGCATGTGCACCGGGTGAGTTGGCCCTGCCCACATGCTGAAACCACAATGGAAGTGATCTTCCTGGAGCACAACAAACCTGAGGAGTCCACACACTTTTTACAAAATTCCTGAATTTCTGGAATTCAGCTTTTATGTATTATGTGCATTAGGGCAAAAAACCTTTTGATATCAGCTTTCCCCCAGCCCCCTTAAACACTTACCTGGCTCCTCTTTTATTCCAGAGCTGTGCTTATTTGCTCTCTCTCCCTCTTCTCACAGGGCACAAAGGCAGCAGCGAGAGCAATTGGCTTCTGCTGCGGTCAATTAAATCCTGTGAGGATGGAGCAAGTGGTGGGGCTGAGGTGTGCTGTGTGTCACTATGGAAGCTCACAACCTGGCTCAGGAACTCCTCCACACAAGTACCCCCATCACAGCTATGAGGGCACTCACAGAAGAGGAGAGGACGCCATTGGAGGTGGACCCCAGAAGGGAAGAAAGGGGCAACTCTGCAATACCATTGCACAGAGCAGGAAAGTATAATATGTTTATTTTAAGAAATTAATATGTCTTTACAGCCACTTTAAATTCAGAATCTTAGCCCTCACTGTCTATCCCGGTGTAAGAAAAACAGAAAGTGAGAAGAAATCCCTTTGTTGTATTGAACCTCTTTACACAGACAGAAACAAAACCCATTACCCTTTGCTTTTGGGCAAGAGTTAGAACCTCCACTACATGTTTATGGTTGTCTCTGTCTTAGTGACCCCCATTAACCTAATTTCCTGTCCTGTGAAGAAAAAAATGTATTTAAAGGGGTCACAGGCAGCTACAAATACATGACAGAGGTTATATAACCCCCTTCCCAGAGAAAAGAGAAAAAAATTGACTCGAGTTGGGTGCTACATTTACAAGTAAGTATTCCTTTTTGGTGCCTGAAGATGGTTCACAGACATAGTTGTCCAGCTTCAACATGATTGCCAAGTGTACTGTGTTAGGGGTTATAGCAGGGTGCAGGGGCCCAGAGGAAAATAATGTTTTAAAAGGCAAAATCTCCTTTTGCATCTAATAAACTGGCTAGGATTGTTATGCAAATCCAGCTTTGAGTGGGATTTGTGAAATCCGTTTCTTCTACTAAAGTCAGGGAGTGCTCTCACCTGTTACAATCCTATAGTTTCAGGATTTTCACAATGTGGTTTATTGTAGTGCTTCCTGTACTCTGTGCTTGGCATTCTATATTTCCACAAATAATGAATATAAGGTATGGAGACTGGTGACACTTATGGCAAATAATTAAACAAGATCAAAACTGGGATCAAAATCAAATCTCCTAGGAAGTCAGGCTCAATGGCCTAAGTCAGTGCAGCTGCTAAAATGTACTATGATCAGGGGCGGACTGACCATTTGGAAACTTGGGCACTGCCCGAGGGCCCGGAGTCAGTAGGGGGCCCCATGAGATGCTTTTTTGAGTTTGGGCAAGGACACAGGGGCCCCATGATCCCCTATTGCCCGGGGCTCCATGAGTTGTTAGTCCGCCCCTGACTATGATCCAAATTAAGTGGTGCTGCTCCAGAAACCAAGCCATTCCTCCACTACGGATGCTTCGGGTGCTTGCATGGGAGCCAGTCCACCCTCCTAATCATGAGAATGTAACAGAGTGTAGGCCGAATATCAATGACACCATTTGTTCACAAAAAAGTTATTGAGCCACAAACGGCACGGAGCACTTCCCTGCCTGGGGACAGCCCCTCCTGTACATGTTTCACCCCAATGGGCTTACCGGTAATTGTAGAGCTGTTAAACTTCTATTTAAACCAAAGTAGCCCTTTGGAAACTGCACAAAGGGGGTTTAAAGCTGGAAAAGCATGGTGGGGTGTAAAAGATAGCAGCGCTGCTCCAAGCCCTGTATGTAGTTATCAGATATGTCTATGTCCCAGGTGGCAGCTTCAAACGAGCATGTTCAACTCAGCATAGATAGTAAGGTCCAAAACTCACCTTGGTCTGCTCATGACTTATAGGGACTCACCAAAATAAAAATTATTCAAAAGTATATATGATTATATTTAAGTTCTTGTTAGAGAATGACACTTACTGTGGAGTTTGTATATAACGCATGTTTTTGTTTAGGCCATCCAGTGCTTTCATGTCTTCTTCACTCAGTTGGAAGTCAAATACCTTAAAAACAAACAACATGCACATTTAAAGCAACAGCCATCTGGTTTCCTGGCTAAGGAATGAGGTTTTAGAGATGGCTAGGAACTATGAAACTATCAGGGAATTGTATGGATCCTCTACATCACCAGTGGGCTCCCTGAAGTGCCCATTATTTGCCATGGACCCCTGGAGGAAGTTTGATGGTCCTATGTTACTGCCAGAATCTTGAGTTTGCTCCATTGCCAGTGGTTGGTCTAATGCTAGACAACCAAATGCAATTCCAAATCATAAGACAAGATTGTGCCCCATCATTATTGTCACTGTGTGAGGAATAGTGTTCCATCATTAGTGTCAGTGGGAGGAATAGTACTCCATCAGTGTCAGTGGGGAGAAATAGTGCCCCATCATTGGTGTCAGTGGGAAGAATCGTGCCCCATCATTGGTGTCAGTGGGAAGAATCGTGCCCCATCATTGGTGTCAGTGGGAGGAATAGTGCCCCATTATTGGTGTCAGAGCAAGGAATCGTGCCCCATCATTGGTGTCAGTGGGAGGAATAGCACCCTGTGATTGGTGTCAGTGGGAGGAATAGCACCCCATCATTGGTGTCAGTGGAAGGAATCGTGCCCCATCATTGGTATCAGTGGCAGGAAGTGCCCAATCATTGGTATCAGTGGGAGGAATAGTGCCCCATCATTGGTATCAGTCAGTGGGGGAATAGTGCCCCATATTTGGTGTCAGTGGGAGGAATAGTGCCTCGTCATTGGTGTCAGTGGGAGGAATAGTGCCCCGTCATTGGTGTCAGTGGGAGGAATAGTGTCCCAACATTGGTGTCAGTGGGAGGAATAGTACCCCATCATTGGTGTCAGTGGGAGAAGGATAGTGTTCCATCATTGGTGTCAGTGGGGGGGGGAGGAATAGTGCCCCATCATTGGTGTCAGTGGGGGGGAGGAATAGTGCCCCATCATTGGTGTCAGTGGGAGAAGGATAGTGTTCCATCATTGGTGTCAGTGGGGGGGGGAGGAATAGTGCCCCATCATTGGTGTCAGTGGGGGGGAGGAATAGTGCCCCATCGTTGGTGTCAGTGGGGAGGAGGAAAAGTGCCCCATAGTTGGTGTCAGTGGGGGGGGAATAGTGCCCCATCATTGGTGTCAGTGGGGGGGAGGAATAGTGCCCCATCGTTGGTGTCAGTGGGGAGGAGGAAAAGTGCCCCATAGTTGGTGTCAGTGGGGGGGGGGAGGAATAGTGCCCCATCATTGGTGTCAGTGGGGGGAGGAATAGTGCCCCATCGTTGGTGTCAGTGGGAGGAATAATGCCCCATCATTAGTATCAGTGACACCAATGATGGGGCACTATTCCTCCTACTGTCACCAATGACACTTGCTGACCCCTGTTCCAGCATGGTGCTGCTGCAGCCAGCATACGTGGTTGCAGCAGCACCATCTGCACGGCACACTTACCAGCCGCTCCCTCATTCGATGTTCGCGGGGGCGCTCGGCTCCGCCTCCTCGCAGGTGATTGGCCGCCTGTGTGCCTTTCCTGAGCTACAGTTCTGGCACCCAATCACCGGTGAGGAGGCAGAGCAAACATTGAGTGAGGGAGCGGCCGAACTGAATGAAGGAGCAGCGCTTCCTGGACTGGATCGTCGTGGGACTGGGACCGGAGCCAGGTAAGAAACAGCAGCTCCCTGCCCGCCCCTGTACTTAGTGTCCCTTCCGTTGGAAAAAAGCCCTGACACCGGTTCGGAAGTGTCAGCACGCCGTAAAAGGCGACCCCCGACTTTTGAGAAGATTTTCATGGGTTAAACAGTCGTCTTATACGCCGGAAAATACGGTAGTTTGATAAAACCAGATATAGGTAAGGCCTGGTTAGAGACACAGACTAAAGTTGGCCATAGATGGATTGAAATTTGGCCGGTGAAGCAGGTACCAGTACTAAATTTTGATCTATGCCTGTTTGACAGAAGTCAATTGTTAGATCAACTTCTGCTGAATGGGCTTGTTGGAAATTTTTTCTTGAGAGCCCAGCTGCCAGAATACAATATCCCAGTGGGGAAGACTCCTCTATCCACCTCACTTGTGTAGATGAAGGAATCTGTGCACTTTTTTCGTTCAGCCCATTGGCTGTTCGAAAAAAATTAGTCCTCTGTGCCCAGCTTTAAACAGGTAATGGGGAAAGTCATACTGCCAAGGATGATGTGACAAGGGTAAGAGAGTCTTCCTAATAGGACACATGACTTAGAACTGAATAAAGCGCTGAGCAAACTGTTGGCGCTATAAAAATCCTGTATAATAATAATAACTGAATTCAGTCTTAACCTGTATCTGAAGCCAAAACCTTTTTCTTTAAGTTTTGGATAGAATAAGAAAGAAGAAAGGACTGGAAAATCAGTCAATGTTTTTTTTTTTTTGCATCTTTGTCACCCTGTGGAAATTTCCCTTTACTTTCTTGCCCTGGAGATACAACCAAAAGTGAGAGGAAATCCCTTCTTAGACAGTTATCAATGAACAGGTGTCCCTATTGGAAGATTACCCCCTCCTCCTGTTCTAAAGAAAACTGTGAAATTTCTGGATTTTTTTCCTTTTATGACTCAGAAACCAGGACAAAGAGAAGGTGAATCTCCTAAGTGTGAGACAGACAGCAGAAACATGACAGGGGTTCCAAACCTTCTCTACTCAATAACTTGATTAAAGTTTGTGCTATAGATATACTTTAAAACTGAACTCCAACCCAGGGGCGGACTGACACCTCATGGGGCCCCCGGGCAATAGGGGACCATGGGGCCCCTGTGTCCTTGCCCAAACTCAAAAAAGACTATGAAAAAGGTACCAGGGGCATCTCATGGAGCCCCCTACTGACCCCGGGCCCTTGGGCAGTGCCCGAGTTTCCAAATGGTCAGTCCGCCCCTGCTCCAACCTTCCCTTCAGTCTTGTACAGTTGTATAGGCCCCTCTCCTGGATTGAAACTGCTTACTAATTTCACTTCCCAGTGTGAGCTTGGCTGGAAGATGTCAGCATCATCTAGCTCTTTCCTCCCTAGCCTTCCTGTCCCTGGCCTGCCCCTTTAATTCACTGGATTTGACTTCTTTCCATCATGGAAGTTCAACATACCATAGGCATTACCTAGGGTGGTCTGCATGCAATAAAGTCTGTCTAAGAATGCCCACTCTTCTAGATTGACATCCACCTATCAAGGCATTTTGATATTGAAGAACACCTCCCAAGAGCAAACCCACTGTTTACATCAGGGCTGAGGACTCTTGAAAGGAGTACTAAGGCAGAGTACTATGATGTTTCCAGGAACATATATACAATTCCCTGGTGGCCCCTTCCACCATCCATGATCTGGTGAAATAGCAGTTCAATGTTTCTAAATGTAAAACAATTCACCTATAGAAAAAGAACCCCTTGAGAGAGTACAACATTGGGGGTACATTGTTAGCCAGCACTTCAGAGGAAAAGGACTTGAGGGTACCTATTTCAGATGATTGAAAAATGAGCAAACAGTGTGGCCAGGCAGTGGAGAAAGTGAATAGAATTCTAGGATGCATCACTAGAGGGGTCACCAGCAGGAGGAAGGAGGTCCTGATTCCCCTATACAGATCTTTAGTTAGACCTCATTTAGTTAGACCTCAGTCAGACCTCATTTAGAATACTGTGTCCAGTTTTGGAGTCCTCACTTACAAAAAAGATATTGATAAGACAGAATGGGGTTTATTTACTAAAGCTGGAGAGTCCAAAATCAGACTCCCTTCTGCATAGAAACCAATCAGCTTCCAGGTTTCATTGCCAAAGCTTCATTGAACAAGCTGAGGTTAAAAGCTGATTGGTTTCTATGCAGAATGGAGTCTGATTTTGGACTCTCCAGCTTTAGTAAATAAACCCCAATGAGTCCAGAGACAGGTAACTTAATGGTGAAAGGTTTAGGGGATAAAACATATCAAGAGCAACTTCAGGAACTTAACATGTACAGTCTGGAGGGAAGGTAAAGGGGAGACAAATGTGAAACCTTTAAATACATCAAGGGGGTGAATAAGGTTCAGAAGGGCAGTATTTTCAACATGAAACCAAAATCAGGAACACGGGGACATGACCTTAAACTAACTGGCTGAAAATTGAAAACTAATCTCAGAAAGTACTATTTATTGAAAAAGTAGTTGATGCTTGGAATAAACTTCCAGCAGGTAGTGGGCCAAAAAAAAAAAAAACAACCCCTCCCACAAACAAAAATGGACAGACTCGATGGACCACTGTCTTTTTCTGCCTTCACTTGTCTATGTTTCTTTATTGTACGTGAAAATCCCTGTAGATCAGCAGTTTTTGAAATACTCAGACCAGCCTGTCTGGTACCATCAACCATGCCACGTTCAGTCACTTAAATCCCCTTTCTTCCCCATTCTGATGTTCGGTTTGAACTTCAGCAAATTGTCTTCACCATGTCTACATTCCTAAATCATTGAGTTGCAGCTGTGTGATTTGCTGATTAGCAATTTGTGTTACCAAGCAATTGAACAGGGGTACCTAATACAATGGCCAGTGAGTGTATTAGCATATTAAACTTCAGCTTTAAATGTAGATGTCCCTTTGATCCCTTTGATCTTCAGTAGTGCTCACCATTCCCTCACCTGCAGATTCTGTTTAATTCTGGCTGGTGTGTAGCTCTTTGCCAGGACCACAATCCCTCTCTGAAGGAGGTACCGCATGGCCACCTGGGCAGTTGTCTTTCCCAGCTTTTCTGCTATTATTTTTAGCACTGGATCCTCCAGTAGAACGGGAGAGTTGGGGTCTATCCTGGGAAATGGAAAGTTTACAATTACCTACAATTCTACTTTGGTGAGAAAGTCAAGTACATCAAGTGATGAGGATCTTACCATTTCTCATCTCGGCTGGAGCCCAGCACACTGTATCCCACCAGTACGATGTCCTGTGACTTGAGGAATTCCAGCAACTTGCCCTGGTTCAGGTAGATGTGACACTCCACCTGAGCAACAAATTAGAACTTTAGTAAGAAACAGAAGCCTATAGCAGTCATTGTATGCACTGTATTGCTCCACCTGTCCTTATTTCCCACATTACCCACTTCAGATCTCTTTTATACTTCCTACGAACCAGAGAAATTTTTACATTTCCAATATGGGTCTGTTTATTCGGAGATAACTTTATGATTACTTAAGATAACAAAGTAATACATTTTTAGAGATCGTGTACCTCGTATGTCAAGCCAAAAACTTGTTAGATAAAATAAGAAAGGATTAGAACTCTTGCCGGTTTATATTCCCATTCAGGGCTCTGTTAAAATAGATTTTCCCCTCATTTACTGTCCTGCTGAAAATGTTTTACCTGACAGGAAGTAAGGGAAAATCTACAACAGAGTAGTGGGCTTTGAGTTTAGATGTCTGTTACTAAACCTCACTGTGAGGCAACAAAAATGACATTTAACACTCAAACGTTTGTTTTACCTCTTTGATCTATTTATTGTGGTCAACTCTGAGGTTCCATGCACACGGGGCATTTCAATAATGCTGGTAACGTTAGCTGTGTAAAGTCACGTTAAAAACATGAGTTTTTTATCATTTTTGCATTAGCGTTTATCGGTGTTTTGCCACGTTTTTTCGCATTTGCGGTTTTTAGAGTTTTTTTACCAAAAAAATTTTTTTTTTTGGCCAGAAAAACATCCAAAATGCTGGTTTGCCGCGATTTACCGCAGTTTGCTGTGTTTTTCAGCATTAGAGAGTTTTTATAGCTAAAAAACTCCTCTAGAAACCCACTAGTCCTGGGTTTTTTTTCCCAGTCAAAAAAAGTTGATTACAGTGCATGGACACATAGGATAACACGCTGGGGAGTTTACTGGCTGTAGAATAAATTAACTACATTTTGTATTTTTTGCTATTAAACATGTCCAGTAAAAAAATTTCAAAAATCAAATTGCGTCATATATTTAGGCCAAAACATGTTCTGCTACATGTCTTTGCTAAAAAAAATCCCAATATGTGTAAATTAATTGGTTTACATGAAAGTTATAGTGTTTTCAAATGGCGGTATATATACTGGAAATTTTTTTTTTTTTTACTAGTAATGGCGGCCATCAATGACTTATAGCGGGACTGCGGCAGCCATTCTGATACTGGGGGGAACTAACATCCCCAGTGACACAAATACAGTGATCAGTGCTAATAAAAAGCACTGACGCTATACTAATGGCACTGGGCAGGAAGGGGTTAACATGTGAGGTGATCAAGAGTTAATATGTGCTATGTGTGTGCTTTACACTGTAAGCACACTGCTTTGTATGGCTCTGCTATGTAGAGCCATTCAAAGCAGTGTGCAGGAGCTGACAGGGGAGAGATCTGTGTTGTATATACACAGGTCTCTCCCCAGTCAGTAATACTCTGTGATTGCTGGGTGCCGGTGAGGAATCACCAGCCGGGACCCGGTGATTGACAGCCGAGGCTGCGAATGGCGGTGCGGGTTGGAGCGCGTGCGCTCCCTACCCAGAACTGCAAAATCACATGCAATGAAGGCGCCAGGTAGCATGATGTAGGCGAGTTTTAGAGGGTGGAGGGGTTGTTCTTTAAAGAGAATCTGTCACTTGCTGCAAGTGGGCAAAGTGACAGAGTTTCTTTAAAAAATACTTACAACATCATTTTGATAATCTTGCAAACTTTAAAACAAATACATTGATAAAAAAAAATGATAGGTTCCTTTCGTATTCAAAAGATATTGTGATACATCAGAAAATCCCATTACTGTAAAAAGGTATTTAATGGTCATCTGGTCTCACACAGAGTTGAGAAGGGAATATTTTGATATTTAAATGGCTTATCCTTTATTTATCAAATAGTGATATCTTTAGGACATGCTGGTTCCTTTCAAATAGATAAGCTGAATACCACCTAAAGCCAGCCATACACGGGTCGAATTCTGCAAGAATTTTCTTTTGAAAATCTTTTCTAAGAATTTTTGTTTGAATTTCGCATCATTAGTGGCTCATAGAAACTGCTGATTTTCGTGTGACCATCGAATCTGAGTGATCGGACATGTTGGAAATGTTTTGAAAAACAAACAAATTTCGAATCAATGATGGGAGAATCGTGCGAGAAATATAAGCAAAAAAGAAATGAGCTGTGACCTGAAAAGAAAAGAAAATTCTTGGTCACGAAAATTCTTTTCTGTAGAAACATGAGGGGAAATTGAAGACTTGGTTGGTTGAATTTCAAAAATCAATGGTGGCACCATCGGATTACAAAACGGATGAAATTTCCAATTTTTAAAAATCAAATGGTGGCACCATCGGATTACAAAACGGATGAAATTTCCAATTTTCTAAAGAAAATTAATTCAGAATTGTCATGTATGACCTGCATTAGTCTACATGAAAACTAAACAGGCCCACTTTAATGCTATTTTGCACAGTATAACAATTGTACTAATGAATAACGGATGAACACAGAATGGTTCTTACTAACAATTGGAGATGAGTTCATGTGTGTTTGGATCCTAGTCCAAACTCACCTGAGGGATACCGTAAAGAAGTTGTCAGGGTCCTTTCACAAGGGCATTCCGGTTTTTTCTTCAATTTAGTCCTGTTTTTTTCAAAGAAAAAACAGATGAGTTTACATCCCTTTTTTCATCCGTTTTTCATTCGTTTACATCCGTTTTTTTCATCCATTTTCATCCTTTACATCTGGTTTTTTATCCATTTACATTGGTTTACATTAGTTTTTCATCCGTTTACATCCGTTTTTCATCCATTTGTATCCGTTTTTTTTTTATCCATTTACATTGGTTTACATCTGTTTTTCATCCGTTTATGTCCATTTTCATCCAATTTTGGTCCGTTTACATCAGTTGACATCCGTTTTTAGTCCGTTATGGGTTTTTTTGCAGAAGAAAAATAGGGTTTTCTTCCGTTCAAAAAAACGGATGTTAATGGATGCGGACATTAACTGATGTAAAAACATGTCATTCGTTTACATCTGCAAGCCCATAGAAATACATGGGGGTCTGTTTTTGATCCATAAACGGACAGATGAAAAACGGACATACGGAACGCCCGTGTGAAAGGACCGTCATTGTACTGAGCCAATTGTAAGCAGCTGAGGGATTCCCCGCCTCACAGCCACACTTATACATACCCCTTGTATACTTTTATATTTGTGGAATGAGTTATTACCTGATTGCAGACAGGTTTGTATTTGAGTCCTGGCATGTTGAGAATTAATTCTATTTGCCGTCTGTTGAAATTGGAAACGCCAATCGATCTAACGAGTCCGGCATCTTTGCATGACTCCAAAGCCTAAAAAAAAAATCAAAGGATTTTAATCCAGTCAAACACAGAAAATAATTAGTTAGTGAAGTGCTATTGCCATTCTGGAAGTACTACATTAATATTCTACTTAAAGGCTCTGTCCACCTAAAAGTGATATTTCAGTTTAATGTGGAGTCTAATGGGCTAGGCTAATTACTGCTCTGCTTCATAGCTTTGGGACTATATGGTGAGAACTTACCTGGCTACCTGGTTCTGTATTATAGTGCCTGGTACCTGGCTCTGTATTCTCTTAACACTGTGGCTTGCTCATTTTGTTTCAAGAAGGATATTAACATGCCTGCAGCTGTTGACTCCATAATACAAAATCAACCAAATGTCCAATAGGATTCCTTTGTAATGATTACAACAGATACACAGGCTACAAAAACTAGACGTATACATGTAATTTCTAGGAGACATAAGAATCCATTAGGTGATATTAAGTGCACCTGTCAGTACCATAAAGATACCACACGCAAAGAAATGCAGTGCAGGTAACAAGCCTTTATGTGTCATCTTCAGCACTCTAGAACCTTAGAATTTTGGGGTGATATAATGAGCAAGGTACTTCAACTACTACCTACATAGCATTTAACACTTCCAAGATGATACCTGTGGTGGTCAAGACAGCATTTAATGGCATTATTATGTGATATATTTAATGTATACATTCATCAGCATATTAAAGAACAATTCACTAATGCCCTAAGGCAACTTTAAAGCCCAATTGCATTTTCAGTTTAAATCAGCTAAATGCAGTGTCCACAGTCTAATAGTTTGTTTTCTTTAAAAATCAGCCGCAGCCTGTGTAGAAAAGTTTGTCTTCTGCCTGCATGGAAAGAACCCTTGTGGAAGGAAAGATCTTCCTGCAGAGGTCTGGCACACCCTGCTGTTGAGTCAGAGCTCTATAATTAGCAGGTAACTTGAGCTTTTCTTTTTGGAAAGCTATAGGTCTGACTTAGTATGTTGGACCTCTGAAATGAGACCACTGCTTCCACATAGAGTGCAAAAGTCCCTCTCTGCAGCATGCTGGCAGAGGAAAGGCTTTTCTACTCAAGATGTAGCTGCTTTAGAAACTGTAAGATACTTAACATGCTTTTTTTTTAAATGCACCTGGCATGTATTTAGCTGACTTAAATTGAAGGTTCAACTGGGCTTTAATCTCAGCTCTCTGTGATCCAAAGACCACCTCATAGGGTTCCTCAGTGTGTATTTCCTGAAGTCTGAGCTGTGTAACTCCCCCTTTCTCTATGTTTTACATATCACCCATCAGATTCAAACTTTTAAGGCAGAAATGAACTTGATTGGTAGCTTTCAGAAACGACTTCCTACTGACATTTTGCATACACCAAAAGTATTGGGACACCCTTCCAAATCATTGTATTCAGATGTTCCAATCACCTCCATGGCCACAGCTGATTTCATGCAGACTGCTTCTACAAACATTTGTGAAAGAATGGGCCGTTCTCAGGAGCTCAATGAATTAAAGCATAGTACCATGATAGGTTGCCACCTGTGCAATAAGCCCATCCATGAAATAATTTCCTTGCTACTAAATATTCCACAATCAACTGCTAGTGGTATTATACAAAGTGGAAGCAACTGGGAACAACAGCAGCTCAGTCACAAAGTGGTAGGACATGTAAAATGAGAGCGGGGGCAGGGCATGCTGAAGCGCACAGTGCACAGAAGTTGCCAACTCTCTGCAGAGTCAATAGCTAAAGGCCTCCGAACTTCGTGTGGCCTTCAGATTAGCACAACAGTGCATAGAGAGCTTCATGGAATGGGTTTCCATGGCCGAGCAGCTGTATCCAAGCCTCACATCACCAAGTGCAATGCAAAGCGTCGGATGCAGTGGTGTAAAGCACGCAGCCACTGGACACTAGAGCAATGGAAATGTGACTCTGGACTGACCAATCACACTTCTCTGTCTAGAAATCCGATGGAAATGTCTGGGTTTTTGAGGTTGGCAGGAGAACGGTACTTGCCTGACTGCACTGTGCCAAGTGTAAAGTTTGGTGGGGGGGGGATAATGGTGCGGGTCATTTTTCAGGGGTTAGGCTTAGCCCCTTAGTTCTAGTAGAGGGAACTCTTAAGGCGTCAGCATACATAGACATTTTGGACAATTTCATGCTCCCAACTTTGTGCGAACAATTTGGGGATGGCCCCTTCCTGATCCAACATGACTGCACACCAGTGCACAAAGCAAGGTGCATAGAGACATGGATGAGCGAGTTTTGGGTGGAGGAACTTGACTGGCCTGCACAGAGTCCTGATCTCAACCCGACAGAACACCTTTGGGATGAATTAGAGCAGAGACTGCGAGCCAGGCCTTCTCGTCCAACATCAGTGCCTGACCTCACAAATGCGCTTCTAGAAGAGTGGTTAAACATTCCCATAGACACACTCCTAAACCTTGTGGACAGCCTTCCCAGAGGAGTTGAAGCTGTTATAGCTGCAAAAGGTGGGCCAACTCAATATTGAACGCTACGGACTAAGACTGGGATGCCATTGAAGTTCATGTGCATGTAAAGGCAGGTGTTCCAATACTTTTGGCAATAGAGTATAGCTCTGGGGAAAACTAGGGTTGCCACCTCATCCCTTTAAAACCAAACACAAATTAATTACACAGGTTCTGATGATAATTTAATGCAGATAAAGCACTCCGTGAGTTTAATTACCACCTTAATCAGCCACAGAACCTGTGGAATTGATAAGTGTTCAGTTTTAAAGGAATGAGGTGGTGACCCTAGGGAAAAATGGTTTTCAGATGCTAATCGTTTATTTTTTTTTGAATATTTTTAGGAATTTTATAAATATCTATCCTTGGATGAATAACTGTTTCAGCCTTAGTTAAGTTGTAATTGAAAGTGCCCTTTTTACCAAGTGTGGTCAGCTCAGGCACTGTACAGTACCTTCCATGTGTCCCGAAGGTCTGTGTTATGGTAAATTAGCTTTCCATTTTCATCTGCAGGGAACAGATCATTTCCAGGCTATAATATAAGGACAAAAAAAAAAAAAAATATATTAGATTTATTAGACTCCTTTAAAACGTGCAAAGGCCAGCTCCACCCCAGACCAATATTTCAATACTGCATAGCTGTTGTTCAACCATAAGCTTGATTTCTGCTGCCCAACTGCTGTGGCGGAATGGTCTTTGGGACGATCTCCCAGGATACAGAACAAACTTGTAGGACTCCCCTTATTGGGTTGAGTGGATGTCCTTAGTTTGGCTGCTAGGGATCAATCTAGGCTGAGCAAAGGAGTATAAAAACAGGGAAATTGCAAGGAGTTGTTGTTGTGAAGTAGTAACGAGCAGACAGAAAGGACAAGTGTTCATGATTTAGCACCGGTTCACACTGCTGCAACTTTTCATGTGACTTGCATAAAGTCGCATGACTAGTCAAAACACATTCATTTCAATAGGTGTCTTCTTAATCAATGTGACTCAAGTTGCAGCAAAAAAGAAAAAAGGTTCCTGCACTACTTTGCCGTACACTGCAATTTTAAATCACATAAATCACAAGCAAGACTCAAGCAGGGAAATGGCGCACAACTTTGGGGTTGCAGCAGTGTGAACTGAGCATTAGGCCTTTGTGGGAATCCAAGGACCTCACCTTCAGAGACCATGTAGTACACTGTGGGGTTTATTTAATAAAGCTGAGGAGTGCAAAATCAGGCTCACTTCTGCATAGAAACCTTCAGCTTCTAACCTCCGCTTGGTCAATTAAGCTTTGGCAATAAAACCTGGAAGTTGCTTCTATGCAGAAAGAGCCCTCAGCCCTGATGCAAGCAGTGGATTGGCTGTTAGGAGGAGTTATACAAAAATGAAATACAGTAAAGGGTGGGTGTTAGTCTTTAGAAATGGGCCTTTCTAGGCAGGCTGCATTTGCATAAAGACCATTCTAGATAATGGCCACTTATGATACTAAGCATCCATGACTGAAAGAAGACAAATCCTACAAAATTCCACCATGGCCAATCAGCTTAGTAGAGTCAATGTTGATGGAGAACGGTCTACATTGATTAGATTGAGGGTGTTTGCTTTGCGTTTTGTATTCAATTCAACCAGCTGAGGTGCGCTGAATGATCAACTGAATGATTTTGTTGCTATGGGTGTCAACGCCATAAGAGGAACCATTTCAGCATGCATTTCTGTTGGGTTTTCATGTCTGTTGTATGCACTTTCCAGGAAGAGAGGCAACTTCCTGTAACACAACTAATGTACGGTAAATTGCAAGCATCATGAAAAACACAGCAACATTGTAACTTTCTGAACCTTTATGAAAACTGTTCTGTGTTCCCCAGGATCTAGCTGGAATGAGTGCAACGTCTTCCTCACCAAGGCGCCACAGGTGGAAGATGGCTGCACCATCCAATCACAAGTCTAATTACATGGATCTGTGAATGGAGACACTACAAGCCCCATCTGCCACTGCAAACATTGCCACACTCGTTCATAGATTACTTCCTCCAGTCCCATAAAAGAAGATCTGTACTTCCATATGAACCCAGGCTGGAGGAATAGTCTGCAGGAGCCTGTGCATTTCAACCACAAAGCACTGATCACGGTTGAAATGCTTTGTAACCTCCAAAGCAAAAAACTAAGTAATTCACTTTTTTCTTTTTCAGTATGTGTGCACTTATTAATATAATAACAATGCTATGTATATGCCTTCAAGCTGTTTGCATGAACTTACCTTGAGCTCTATAGGGTTATGAATAATATATAGATCAATGTAATCCAGCTGGAGATCCTTCAGGGATTTTTCTATAGCTGGACGGACCTGGTCTGGTGCATGGAAGGTGGACCAAAGCTGCAATTTAGAGACTGATATATAACATGTACACATAACAGGATAATTAAATATTAAACAGCAACCCCCAGCCAGCAAGTAACATCAATGTACTGCTGTAAAAATATTTTTAGGAGACCCTTTCAATATCCCAGAAATGTACCTGACCTTCAACTCTCCAGCACCCCATCTTTTGTATGTTCTCTCCATTTCAGGGCTAAAGCATCCCATAAGACCCCTCGGCACTCATAACCTCCAGGTTCCTCTGACAATGCCGCACACTGTGGCTCCGTCCTCTGACCTCTATGTCACTACAGGACACAGCAGTGACCTTGGAGTCAGAGGAAGGAGCCAGAGCAAGCAGCAGGAAGGACACAGGCGCCCTGCATGACTGCAGAGCTGGAATGGAGGTGCAGTGAAGGTAGGAGACATGGATTGCTGCTGTGGTAAGTATAATACCTCTTATCTTGCAGGACATTTCAGGTACGATTTTGTTGAAAGATGTGCAGGGTTTTGATTACACTCAACAGTGAAATTCAGCAGGCAATGCTACTGGCGGTTGCAGGATCTACCGTAAGCTAAGTGGGTTCACGTGCATAAAGAAATTAAAGAGGAACTTTTCTCCCCCAGCATGTTTTCTTTTTACACCCCCCCCCCCCCCCCACATGCTGGGTACATACTGTAAGTTTTTTTTAATTTTTTTTCAAACCAGCAGACTGAACAGAAAATAAATATAAAGATCACTATACTAGCACAAGCGTTGTTAGTGTGGCAATTTTCACCGTTGAGATATTGTGTTCTGACAGGAGGACTGCCCCACCACCAGAACAGGTTCTCTTACACCTTCTCTCTGTTTTTCCTCGTATTCTATATATGGAGCGTCTTCAACCCAGTCATTGTAATGATGTCTAACATCATACTTCTTTCACTGAGTGAGGCACAGTGCCATCTGCAGGCTGAAGAAGTTGGTTGGTTCCCAATTGTTAGTCTGAGGCCAAGTGGAAGCACGATTTTAGAACTAGAAGCACACACAGGTGAGTGCTCCTAGTTCACAACTGCTGTGAATATTAACATTCTTACAGAATGAGAAGCTGTGCCGGAAAACGATAGAATGCAGGATGTGATTGTCTATTCTGAATAAAATACAGGAACTGACTTTCTTCTGAAAATACTAGTTGCCTGGCCATCTTTTGCCTTAATACTAATTTATTTATTTATTTCAGGTACTTCTATAGCGCTGTCAATTTATGCAGTGCTTTTACACATATATATATATATATATATATATATTGTACATTCACATCAGTCTCTAACCCTCAAGGGGTTGTACAATCTAAGGTCCCTAACTTACAGTCATACATACACATACTAGGGACAATTTAGACAGGATCCAATTAACCTACCAGCATGTCTTTGGAGTGTCGGAGGAAACCAGAGCAAACCCATGCAGGCACAGGGAGAACATACAAACTCCAGACAGGTGGTGCTGTGGTTGGGATTTGAATCAATGACCCTAGTACTGCCAGGTGGAAGTGCTAACCACTAAGCCACTGTGTCACCCCTTTCTAAGACACTCATTCAAAAAAACACACTAGCGTTTCATTGCTTCTGATCTGCAAGCTTGTTCCAGGTCAATGGCTCAGAGTGTACCAAAATCATCCGATTAGCATAATAACCAGGAAAGTAGCATTTTCAGAAGACAAAATCAGCGTGGTTAGCTTCTATACTTCCTCAGCACATGTTCAAGCTCTGTCACAAGTAGCTGCATAAAAGTGGAATTCCACTGGAAGCAATATTGTAAGTTGATATACCTTTGAGGTGTAGAAAACATCTTCCCTCTTCACCGTTCCATCTGCGATCTTCTCTCTGATGGCTCGTCCAACCTCCACCTCATTGCCATATATCAAAGCACAGTCTATGTGCCTATAGCCAACTTCCAGGGCCACTTTCACACCTTCTTCTGCCAGAGTCTTGGGTACCTAACAACAACAGAATGACAGTGATAACTTACAGGGAAAGTACGGTGCTGATCAACTTTATTTTGCATTGTGTGGAAAGTTTACAATTAGTTGTTACATTACTGAAATATTTGTAATATTTCCAATTTAACTAAAATTAAAGACGCAAATGTAAAGAATGCATTTTAGTACTGAACCTAATAAATTAATAACATACTGTATACGTATATCTACACTTGTGTATATCTACATTGATATCTAAAACCAATCACTGATATCTCACATATGCCTTAACATGTTAATATAATTCAAAAAGTAGTTTTCAAACAGCTAAAGTCCAACTCCAGGAATTCAGACACTTTGTTGGCTTTATTATAATAATATATGATGATCTGGTGATCCTGCCATGAAGGTCTTGCTCAGAAACCATTACAGATCAAATGATGGAGTGTATGTAGACAGTAAGGCTGCATTCACACCTGAGAGATTTTCTGCTTGAACCTTGTAGCTCTGAAATGCTCAACAAGTCAAATCCCATTCATTTCAATGCCCCTGTTCACATATGAGTGTTCTGTCGCCTGAAGCAAAACACCTGTCACTCAGAAAAGTACACAAGCCTCTTTTTGGCAGATTCCAAAAATTTTTGGTCCCATAGACTTCTATAGAAATGCCTGAAAACCTGTGACTTGAGTGTTTTACAAGCGTTTTGTCGCCCATTTTCTGCTCAAACAGCAGCTCTCCACACTAATTTCCTCCCCCTCTCCTTCCGGTAGTGCTTTCTATTAGCTAAACAAAAATGCCTGAAGCTGTAAAACACTTGTAATGCACTTCTAAAACACTTATAATATACTTCTAAAAATGCTAAAAACCTCTCAAATAAAAACACCAGTAAATCGCTACACTCAAATGTGAATGCAGACTAAGAAGCTGAAAGAGGCTGGGGTTCTGGAACAGATAAGAAACAGGTCTGCCTGCTGTCTTCTGTTGTAGGAACCTGCTGGATTTAACTCTTTAGAGATCTGATGGCGTTTCCTTAAGCAAACATACAGCATACAGCTTTATTACTGCTGCCATTCGTCCCCATTTCCCAGGAGTGAGAGGTCTGTTTCCAGGAAACGGGCGTCAGCAGATTCATCCCTGGGAGCCACAGGGAAGTGTAAAGTTTGTAGTGCACAGGGTACGTCACACTGCCAAAGCAGCAACTTGCACTAGCAATTTCATACTGCCCTGCATGCACAGACTGCTCCAGCCACGCCGTTTTAAATTGGTGCTTGCAGTGTGAGTTGGAGCCTGCAAGCTCCAAACTTTACACTATCCTGGCTCCCAGGGATGATGCTCCAAACTGTAACTGTTGACCTCTAACCAACTGTGTTGCTTAATCCTGACCCTGAACTCTGTGCGTCACTTAATTCTGACCCCTAAATTCTGCATGTTGCCTAATCCAGGCATTACTGAATCCTGACCCCTGAACTCTGTGAATTACTTGATTCTGATCCCTGAACTTTGTGCATTACTTAATTCTGACCCGTGAACTCTGTGTGTAACTTAATCCTGATCCCTGAACTCTGTTTCTACTTTTTAATCCTGATCCATGAACTCTGTATGTTACTTTTTGATCCTGACCCGAAACTCAAGTGTTACTTAATCCTGACCCCTGCACTCTATGCATTACCTAATCCTGACCCCTGAACTCTGGGCCTTACTTAATCCTGACGCCTGAACTCTGTGCCTTACTTAATCCTGATCCCTGAACTCTGTTTCTACTTTTTAATCCTGAACCCTGAACTCTGTATGTTACTTTTTAATCCTGACCCCTGCACTTTATGAGTTACTTAATCCTGACCCTTGAACTCTGTGTGTTACTTAGTCCTGACCCCTGAACTCTGTATGTTACTTTTTAATCCTGACCCCTGAACTCTATATGATATTTTTTTATCCTGACCTTAAACTCTGTGTGTAATTTAATCCTCACCCCTGAACTCTGTGTTACTAGATACTATTATTATTATTATAATACAGGATTTATATAGCGCTGACATTTTGCTCAGCGCTTTACAATATAATGGGAGACAATACAGCCGCAATACAGTTCAATACAAGAGGGTTAGGAGGGTCATGCTCCTTGGAGCTTACAATCTAAGAGGGAGGGGCTAGTGGTACAAAAGGTAATAACTGTGGGGGATGGACTGGTAGGAGGAATAGAAGATTCCATTATTAGCTGAGGGCAGGATAGGCTTCCCTGAAGAGATAGGTTTTCAGAGATCACCTAAAAGTGAGCAGAGTAGGTGATAGTCTGATAAATTGGGGTAGAGAGTTCCAGAGGATGGGGAAGCTCTGGAGAAGTCCTGGAGAGGAGCATGGGAGGAGGAGACAAGGGAGCTAGAGAGCAGGAGGTCGTGCAAGGCACAGAGAGTACGGTTTGGGTGATATTTGGAGACAAGATTGGTGATGTAATTTGGGCAGAGTTATAAAAGGCTTTATATGCTATTGTTAATGTTTTGAATTGTATCCGTTGCACAATGGGAAGCACAATGGGAAGCCAGTGGCGGGGTTGGCAGAGAGGGGTGGCAGATATAGAATGGTTAGTAAGGTGGATGAGTCTGGCAGCAGCATTCATGACAGACTGAAGAGGGGATTAGGTAGGCCAATGAGAAGGGTGTTACAATAGTCAAGGCGGGAGATAACAAAGGAGTGAATAAGTTGCTTAGTAGTTTTGGAGGTTAAGAACGGGCGTATCTTGGAGATGTTGCAGAGGTTAAGTCTAGAAGATTTGGATTGGGACTGAAAGGACAGATGGGAGTCTAGGATTACACCTAGCACCCTGGCATGAGGGGTGGGACTGATGGTTGTGTTATTGATCTTGATGGAGAAGTCAGGGGAGGGGGCACGGGCTGGAGGGAACAGTAAAAGCTCAGTTTTGGAAAGATTGAGTTTGAGGAAGTGGAGTGACATCCATGCCGATATGTCACT